ACCCAAAACCAATCTCACTTCTTTCTCGCTTATTATCAGGCTTGTAAACTCGGTGAATTGTCAGGATACTCCGGTATAAAGGGATGCTACATTCTAAAGAAATCTGCAATGAAGATTTGGAAGGCTCTAAAAGTGAGTTTTTTTTCCTTTCAACCCTATTCGGTTCGGATTCATTCGATTTGAAACCCTAATAATCAAAGTTCGTTTCTCCCTTTAGAATTTCTTCGATGACGAAATCGAGAAGATGGGAGTGGAGGAAAGGTATTACCCTATGTTTATACCTCGTGATTTTCTCGAGAAGGAGAAGGATCACATTGAAGGATTTAAGCCTGAGGTTGCTTGGGTTACAAGAGCTGGTGATTCTTATTTGCCAGTCCCATTAGCTCTACGTCCAACTAGTGAGACCGTGATTTACCCTGATTTTGGCGATGAGATTAGGAGCCACCGTGATCTTCCATTGAAGATCAATCAATGGGCTAATGTTGTTAGATGGGAGATTAAGGACCCTACTCCATTCATCAGGTATAACAACATTCTATATATGAATCTTGTTTCTTTCCATTGATACTAAACCGGTTTAATCCTCGCAGGAGCCGTGAGTTCCTTTGGCAGGAAGGCCACACTGTTTTTGCCACCAGAAAAGAGGCTGATGAAGAGGTATGTACATGTATACAAAGTTGGACTCTTTTCGCCTAACCGACTAGTAGCTAATCGAGTAAACATGTATAGGTGCTTCATATTTTGGATATATACAGCCGTTTGTATGAAGAGTTTCTTGCAGTTCCTGTCATTAAAGGTATTAAGAGTGAGAATGAAAAATTTGCTGGTGCACTTTACACCACAAGCATTGAGGTAATATCTCTCACTCTCTCTCAAAAATCGGAGATAAGTAGAAGAAGTCTTTGAATGAATGAATCAATACTCTCTTTGATACTTTCAGGCTTTCATCCCAAGCGCTGGCCGTGGTATACAAGCTGCAACCTCGCATTGTTTGGGACAAAACTTTGCAAAGATGTTTGACATAACCTTTGAAGATAATAAAGGAAAGAAATCAATTGTGTGGCAGAACTCGTGGGGATTCAGTACCAGATCGGTAATTTGTTATTATCTTATTTGATTTTTTTTTTCATGTTTTTTCATGTTTAGTTTCTCTAACATTAAACTTGTTATATGTACATATAGATTGGAGTAATGGTTATGACTCATGGAGATGACAAAGGCTTAGTATTTCCTCCAAAAGTTGCACTTTATCAAGTTGTTGTGATCCCTGTTAATGCTGATTCTCAAATACTCTGTGATGCCTGTGAAGCTGTTGGATCCACCTTGCGCGAGGCTGGAATCCGTGTTGATGTAGATAACCGCGACAACTATTCTTGCGGCTGGAAGTATTCAGATCAGGAACTGAAAGGTGCTCCATTGAGAATCGAAATTGGTCCAAGAGATTTGGCTAAAAATCAGGTTATATTCGTCTAGTATTTTTCTTTTACTAACTAATTAATAAAGTCTCATAATCTTGTGTATAGGCGCTAAACGGTTTCTTGGATTCTGAGGCAGGTGAGAATAGTGAGACGCGATACGGGAGCTAAGTTGGATTTTAAGAGAGAAGACTTGATTGAAAAAGTTAAGGACTTGCTTGAAAACRTCCAGAGAAACCTYTATGATGTSGCAAAGAGAAAGGTCGARGAAWSCACKCAAAAGGTTGAAACTTGGGATGAWTTTGTKGAAGCTCTTAGCCAAAAGAAACTGATTTTAGCTCCATGGTGTGACGAAGTTGAAGTGGAGAAGGATGTGAAAGAGCGAACCAGAGGTGATGGAACTTTAGGAGGAGCTAAGACTCTATGTACTCCCCTTGAGCAGCCAGAACTAAGAGAAGGTTTTTGTGTTATTAACACATTAATAGTTTACTTAGTAAGTAATATTATGACTAATTTTTGTAATCAACTAATCTCTTTGAATTTTCTCTGTAGATACTCTCTGCTTTGCATCAGGAAAGCCAGCGAAGAAGTGGACCTATTGGGGAAGAAGTTACTAAGCTCTAGCTTTTTATGTCAAAAGCAAATTTGGGACTCAATATCTTTACTTTTTATGTTATTTTTTATGACTTTAATGAACGTATAATGTCACTAATCTCGGCGACATTTCGCTTAACGTAGACTCTAAAAACCTTTCTTTGGCAGATGATTGGTGATTGATTCTCACGAAAAAGTAATGTTCATATATATTTGATTTATAAGAAATCTTTCAACATAAATCCATATTCGAATAAACAAACCATTAGGACAAGTACTCTAAAATCCTAAGAGACAAATCATTTGACACAGACCTTCTTTCTGTATAGATATCAGATACATCATTTCATGAACTGGTTTTAATTAAAGAGACTAAAATATAACCAGTTTTTTTTTTTACTACAAGCAAGAGAGATAAAAGCAGCAAGAGAAAATTGCATCATATGAGAGGTCCGACAACAATCTGCATAAGGTGTCTTTATTGACATCCTATCGCGAGTTTCAGTAAAATCATTCCACTCCTCAAACCCATTAACATATATTGGTCCGAATTGTTAGAGTACATATACAAAGTAACGTATATAACCTTATGTAAGCCCTAAAATGTTATTTATAGACTACAAAACATTCTCTAGGGTTTACACAAGGCTATATACGTCATTTTATGTATACTCTAACAATCTATTAGCTATAAATATTTTACTTCGAAGCAATTCAAGTCAAACAAAGGAGAAAATTGTCATACGATTTTATTATGAAATCAGCGTAAGATGAAGTCATGAACAAAACCTATCAAACGAGTGTTTTTTTCAACTACAGATTTTTATCCATTTCGTATGATAAAATCCACAAGAAAATTAAAAAACAACCCAACAGATTTCTCTCTACGTTGCGATAGATCAGTTCACACTTTAGAAGAAGAAGAAAAAAAAAACAAAAACGTTAATTAAGTTATAGGAGAAAACACAAACATTAATTAGAAGAAGAAAATATAAACAAAAAAAACACATGGGCAGATTCCTAACCCTATCCCATATCTCTATGGTCTCACACGTTTAAGATCAGAACACGAAATGRAACCATTGATTCATGGGGAAAAATTCTCTAAATGGTTTCATTTCTGGTTCCCATCTCAAAGGAGTAAGAAGAGGGATGGTCTCGAATCTGCACAAATCTGACTGATGAGAAAATCGAAWAAATGATTTAGGGTTTAGATATGAACTTAGGTTAGAGAATGAGCCACTATTTAAAGAGATGGAAGGCTTGAAACTTTTTTACTGCAAAGATAGAAAATCACATTTTAGGGTTGGATACGTTGTACCCACATATATCTTATCTTTAACTACAGATTTTTATCCATTTGAAATACAACAAATCTTATCCCGTAAAGATATGTAATTTTTTTTATTTGTTTATGCTAAATAAATTTTCTTATCAAAATGTAAAAAGATAAAAACAACAGTTGGAAAAGAAATTCAAAAATACTATGTTGCAATTGACGACGGTCAAAATAAAAGTAATATAATATACACTCTGACGACGGTCTTAGGAGGTGTTATTGAATGAATGTTTTTAATGTATTTTTTTGTAATTGTATTTAGAGGTATTTTGTTGGGTTTTGATGAATTTACAGTGACCCATCACGATTCTATTGATATTTTTATAGATTTTATTGTAACTGTATTTTGAAGTATTTTGTTGGATTTTAATAATTTATAATGATCCACGTAATCTGTTTTGAGTTTGTTTTTATAATTGGTTTGAATTTCCAAAAATCATTTTTTTTCTAACTATCTAATTTTTTTCTCCACTTCGACAAATTCTTTAACAAAATTTTGCACTTGAATCCATGAAAAATGCAAGTTACAAAGTTTCTCCACTTCAAAAAATTATTTA